GAAATCTCTGGTTGCACCAAAATTCTCATCTCTGACTTGCGGTCTCTGCTGCCAGATTTGTACTCCAAATCCGGGCTAGTGCAGTCTGAAGTCTGCTAATAATGCAGCCGCAAGCCAGAGAAGACACAGGAAACGGGTCTCAAGAGAATAATTTCTATGCTCAGAATGTCCACAATGAACAATTTAGGGACAGGTGATCAAATGCGATGGTACCAGAATTTCCTGTCCGACGCCGCCAGAGGAGGGAAGTAGGCAACTCATAGGCTAGAACGTTAAGTCGTCATGACGGCAAAATGATATCATATAAGTTTATTGTCCGTTTCCTCCATCACCATGTGCCGAAAAGGTGGTGAGGTAAAAAATTTACAACTGAGCTAAAGTTCATTCGCGGACGAACTAGTGGAGCTGATCTTGCATCAGTAACACAACTACATCTGGACCGGCTGAACGCGCAGCTTTAGGCAGTGTCACACCAAAACAGATGATTGCGCCATCGGTATCACCTGATTGTCTGTAAAGTTATTGCTCATTTGATTATTTGTTCTAAATCACAGTTCATGTTGAGATTACACATTTTGTGAGTTTGACACGAGCCCGACGGAATGTTTAGAAGGCAAGCAGAACGGCTCAAATATACTGTGGCCATGGCGACAATGGATTCGAATGAAAGTTGGCCAGATCTACAGAAAAGGATGCGCAATCCGTAGGTCTTGAGGAGGGTCTCAGTTTCCCGAATGCTTAAAAACTTGTGAAGATCCTTAAAATGTAAGACTCAATACAATGTTCTGAAGTCTGGGCCAATATTTTATAGATCAAATTGCCATTTATAATCAGCTGTAAAGCTGACGAATTTCAAATGCTTCAGAAGATGTGAGCCTATTACAATTAATGTGCATGAATTTCGTTCTTTCAGTGTGGCAAATCATTCGAGGTTTGCAAAACTCCTTTAATCTAGTGCACTAACTACAGCGATTCTTAGTGTCTATTTAGAATTTGAGAGGAAAATTGTACTATCCTAGAGCCTTTTGCCTTTCGCGGAAGACAACTTGGAAGCTAAAGGCTCAGGGCTGTAGAATACACATGCTTGGCACTTCTACCAACTAACGAACATAATCCCACTTTGAATGCATACTTATACGGCCTTGACATTAGAGTAATTTTGCTCCTCAAGTGCTATCAGACGAATTACTAGTGCGC